ATGTCTGGGATTTTCTTCGAATTCAAACTTACATGTCTCGGATCTGTCAACCATGTTGTTAGGAATTTATTTATATACCTCAGGTATTTGAATTTTTCTGCTAAGTTTCCTCAGTCGCACAGTGTGACAAAACATAAATTATCCGGTCAAAATTCGATATTTTTGGAGCCAGTAAAGTTATTGATATGAAAAACAGTTTTTGAGGTGATCCCTTTTTAAATATAATTTGAGCCTAACGGCCTACCTAAACCCACAATACTTAATACTCAAAAACTATGATAGATAGAAAACTGAAAGCTAAATTTTCAAAAAACCTACATTACAGTCCATCAGTTCATGGCATTTCGCCCACTGCCACACCCATCGCTCATACAAAATTTTTATATAAAATTGTTTATTATCGGAAAAAAACTTTTTACTCTTACTGGACTATACACATTTAATACGTACATAGCAATATAACATTATACAAAAAATTGGCGTGATCCGCCCATTAGTTTTAAAGTTATTCACAGTTTTATGTAATTTTAGAGAAATTACGATTTCACAAAAATTGAACCAAGTTTAAACTTTCATAACTTTTTCACTGTTTATTCGAAAATAATCGTTTTAACTTTTTTTAAAGCGTCGGATATCGTTATTCATTGTTTGTAAAAAGTTTCAATTTCAATTATTAATAAAATTTTATAAGTGAAATTGCACAAAAAGTTAGCAGTTTTTTCATAGCCATCTTTAATTTTATCTGCGCTACCCCAAAAAGATATAGGAGAATTTAAAAAAAATTGTTCCCACTAATAGCCAAGTAGTAAAACTTTACAAGAAAAAAAATTTATACCTATTACAGGCCTCGGAAACCAATGAAAAATTACGAAAAATATGACCTTCAATAAACCCCATTTACATCAACAAGAAATTTAACAGGTAATAAAAAAAAGGCATTTGTTATTTTATAAATATTCAATTTATTCACACTTTAAACTTTACGAAGTTACAACACATTATGTTCAGACGCCCGCCCGAAAGTATAATATATCAAAAATATATCAAATATATATACATATATATATATATAGGTATATGTATATGTTATATATTAATATATCAGAAAAAATTATACTCAAACGCACAAAAAAAAAAAATTTGATTATGAATTCACAAGTATGAATTTATAATATAAATATTACTAAAAAAAATAATTTCTGATATAAAAAATTCAAATGATTTTTATATATATTCAATTATTAGTATTCCGTTTAAACAAAATTTTGGAGGATGATTACCATAACGGATTTATGTATCATGACTGTTAAAAAATATTTCGCATCTGTAATCGTGTATCACTTTAAAAATACCTGATATTTTTTTTTTTTTGGTTACCGTTTCAAGTAACAAATTTACAGCTTCTTGAGTCCCGTTAATCTTCCGGTATTCCTCTATATAAATTTTCAATACCGTTGAGTACGTCAAAAAGAATTACAATAGACTTTTCACATCAACTTCCAGCTCAGCGCCTGCCAGCAACAGCTCGCTTTCACCAAAAAATTATGTATTCGCAATCACTTTTGCATGTCTTTTTTTTTTTCTTTGATATAACTAGGTCCTCCATAGGTCACTGTAATATTTCTTGGCGCACTTTACAAATTTAGAAATCTTTTCATCTTACTTTTATCTTGGAGCATAGAAATTACTTTCTGATGAGGATACTTTGGAAGCAAAGAAAATTCTTTTCACTGTATATAACCAGAAAAAAAAATGAAAGAGTATTTATGGCTATTTCTTAATAAGCCGAAATAAATTAATAACCGCTTCAATGTCCTTTTTATGGCGTTAGTTTATAATTATTTAAAACAAAGAAAAATGTTTAGACTTAATTAGTATGAGCATGTACAAAGTTTAAAGGCATTTTTTAACTTTGCTTTTCAAGGATTGTTCACAAAAAAACTTTCACTGCTTTTTTGCGTTATAACCTGTCGCGGTTTTTAGTTCTAATCACCAATTACACAGCTCAAAAACTTCCACCTTTCCGTCTTCTGCTGCCTTTTGCATTTTTCCCGCAAACGTTTCTGTTCCCGCAATTATCAGCATTCCTTTTTTCTGGACAGTTTTCAAAAAAAACCCAGTTAATACTGTCTTCCTTTTGCACATTCCAAATTTTGTAGTCATTTCTAATAGTTGGGATCACTATTTACGGCTTATGTTTTTTTATGTTGTTGACTTTGGCATCTCCTAATTATGGTAGTACTTAATCTACAGTTTTCGCTGCGTATTAACCAACTTAACCAAAATGGCAAAAGCTTTTAATTATTTTTCAATTTTCTACCATGTGCGAGCAATGCAATATTATTATTGCAAAGTGTAGTTAATATCTATATATAATTACGCTAACATAAAAGTTTGTTACCCCGTTTTAACTGTGTTGCCGTTGACATATATGGATAAAATTTATACCGTTGGAAAGGTGAAGACGTGCAGAAGAGCACAACAATTTTTTCGCATGTACGTTAACGGAAACACAGGTAAAAATGCGTTGGCGTAAATTTAGCGACTACAACAACAAAATACATGTGTTTTTCAAAGTTTTTTTTTGTGACGAATTGTTAATTGTTTACGGTGGATTTGTGTGTGCGATTTTTTTCCACTTTTGGAAAAAAGTGGACTTTGTGTGTTTGGACTTTGTGTGTTTGGACTTTGTGTGTTTGGACTTTGTGGATTCTGTTACAATCAGATTTTTAAAGCTCATTAAATTTCAAATATTGTTTGTGAATAAAAAAAACGCATTGAAGTGGAAATATCCTTTGATATCAATCGTTTTATTTGCATTGTGTGATAGTTAAATTTTAATTGTGATAAATTTTAATTTTGATAAATTTTAATTGTGATATATTTTAATTGTGAAATGTGGATAGTTAAGGTTAATGAGTTTGAAATTTTTAGATTTATTTCAAGTGCATTGTGTGATAGTTAAATTTTAATTGTGATGAATTTTAATTGTGAATTGTGTGATAGTTAAGGTTAATTAATTGGTTGAATCGACATTAACAACACTTCAATTCGAGAGATATTCATTTTGTACAATGAAAGAACATTATGATAGAGTATGCAATGCACAAAAAGAGATTTGTATGGCAATTATCGTGAATCGTGATACAGATATACGAAGATATAATATTTACGACTATAGATGGTGAACCACCATTTGAGAGAAATATGATATCTCTTTTAAAAACAAATGGTGTAGTTAAGAATGTATTAGTATTAGATTCTGCTTTGGAACCATTGGCATATCCTTTACTATTCCCAAATGGAGATTTTGGTTGGCACGTTAATATATCGCATAACGTGCAACATAATTCTAATGGTAGGCAGATTCGAAATAAAGTTACAATGTTACAATTTGCATGCTTCAGATTTGCAATAAGGGATCAATTTAGCTTTTTGCATAAATCGCAAAAACTGTTTTTGCAATACATTGTTGATATGTACGTGAGAATAGAAGGATGTCGACTACATTTTATAAGACAGAATCAAGTAAATTTGAGGGCAGATGTGTATAACAATATTAGTGATTATTTGCAAACGAATCAAGTAGGAGATGGTAGCTTAGGTCGTAAAGTGATTTTGCCTTCATCCTTCACTGGGTCTCCGAGAAACATGTATCAAAATTACTTAGATACAATGTCAATTGTTCAGTACTTCGGCAAGCCATCGCTTTTTGTTACAATGACTTGCAATCAGAATTGGGCGGAAATTGTATATAATATTGATCCTAATGTATCATCTCATTTCAGGCCTGAAATAGTTGTGCGTGTATTTAAATCGAAGTTAAAAGAACTCATTTCTGACATTTGGAATAAATATATTTTTGGCAAAGTTGAGGCTCTTATATATACAATCGAATTTCAAAAAAGAGGTTTGCCTCATGCTCACAGTTTGATAACTTTATGTGAAAATGACAAAATTGTCGGGCCGGCTGATATTGATAAAATAGTTTGTGCAGAGATACCGGATAAAAATTTGCAGCCAAAATTACATGAATTTGTTGTCAAACACATGATGCACGGTCCATGCGGTGTTTTGAATCCAAGCTCTGTATGTATGCAAGATGGAAAATGTTCAAAACAATTTCCAAAGGATTTTGTACAATTAACGAAAGAATCAGTTAATGGTTATCCGTTGTATAGACGGCGCTGTTCACACATTATTATTATTGTAAAATATTATTATTATTACTATTGTTATTATTGTACAATATTTGTAAAATTTGAACATATATGCTGATGTTAGCAATATCCAAATTTTGACTTTCCTTTGCATTATTTAATTTGGTAAAATGCAGTGGCACTGAACTTGAATATTTGCATTACATTTTTTGTTAAGTGCAGTGGCACTGAACTTTGAATATGTAACATATATCAAGGCCAGTGCATTGGCATTAATTCTTGGTTGCTAGACAGAACAAAGAATTTGGTTGCATAATATATGCTGAGCTTGCACTTTAGGCAAGAAGACGGTAAAGGAAAAGAATAAAAATTAGATATTGTTATTGTAATAATTTGTAATAATTTAGTATTTAAGGAAAAATTTAATTTAATAAAATTCAGATTGAAACCAATATTCGATCTCTCATTTTCATTTCCAGAGTTTCAGTTCATGTGCTGAAAACTCAACTTTCAATTAAAGAGTTACAGTTTAAGTGCTGTCAATTCATTTCCTTAGGTGTTAATTCATTAACATTTAATTTTGGTGACCCCGACGTGATTATCAGGTGAATCGCTTGATAATTCAACACGAATTTGACGTAAAGGTGTCCTACGATCACATCAACAGAGGCTTTGGTGTCAGCATCAAAAGAGGACAAAGAACACGAATTTGACGTAAAGGTGTCCTACGATCACATCAATACAGGCTTTGGTGTCAGCATCAACAGAGGACAAATAAAACAATTTTAGTTTCACAAGGTGTGAAATTGGCTGTTAATCAACAAATCAACTAACTGGATAATGGGTTTCAGTTCGCTAGTGGATCGCCAAAAGGCATTGGGCGACAAAATCAAACAATTTATTGGTAATTGCAAAAAAGCTGGAAAACCTCGCAGAACTTCTCAATTCTATACAGACAAGATTCAAGAATTGCAAAGGTTGGGTGACGAATATCATGAAAATCATCAGGAAATCATGGCTTCAGTGGACAAGGTTGACGACCATGAATACTTGGTGAACAAAGAGTATCAGAGTATTCTTAAAATGATTGTCGATTACAACAAGGTTCTAGAAATTGAAGCAATAGAGCTAGAAAAATCATCTTCAGCAAGCAATGGCACAACAATTGAGCAAAACAAACAGATAAATGATTCAAACATTCGGAAACTACTCCGAAATCAGAAGGCACTCATACGTGTAATTGAAAGAACAATAGAAGGAATCATGGTCAACAGGCAAGTTGAACAACCATCTACATACTATTCTATAAAGGCAGCCAGTCTTGAAGGATATATGGTCGATTTAACGGCAAATAACACAACGTTATGGGAAGCTACCGACGAAAGCATCATTGAGGACTACACACTGGAAATGTTTTATGAACTCGAGGAAAAGGCAGGAGCTGCCATGATCGAACTACAGCAACATTTGCATAATAATCAGACAATTCGCAACTCAAGACAGACAGATTGCGAATTGCCTCTACCAAGAATATCACTACCAAAATTTGATGGAAACTACATGCGGTGGGTGGAATTCAAGGACTTGTATATGGAATTGGTCCACAACACGGACATCAGTGACAGCAAAAAAATGCATTATCTGACTACATCATTGGATAACGAGCCAAAGGGGCTAATTAGACATCTTCCAGTAGTAGGAGAAAATTACAATATAGCCTGGACTTTACTTACAAGTCGTTATGAAAATAAACGACTTCTGGTTACAACACTCCTAAATAAATTAATGGGACAATCCTCCATTAAAAGGGAGTCGGCACCAGCATTAAAATCTCTACACGATGTAAGCAAGGAATGCATACATGGTCTCAAGGCTCAAGGAGTTCCAGTCGAACATTGGGATATTATCCTGGTACATCTATTGCTGCGCAAGCTGGATGCAGAAACTCTAACAGCTTTCGAACAAGGGCTATCAGACAACAAACGTTTAATAACCATTGATGAATTGCTAAAATTTTTGGAACATAGATTTCAATCACTTGAGGCTAGGGGAAAAGGAGATTCATCATTCACTCGAACATGTGCTTCAGCTACAAAATTTGGTTTAAGTAAAACCTGTCCAATTTGCAATAAAGACGGTCACATGGTCTATGCTTGCAAAAAATTCGAGACGGCTAATCTATCACAACGTTGGAATTGGGTTAAAGAGTTCAATTTGTGTGTGAACTGCCTCAGGATTGGACATCGAGCTGATGAGTGTAAATCAAGGCACTGCACTAAGTGTTCTAAAAAACATAACACTTTGATGCATAATCCAAAGGGGAATCAATACACAAAAGGTACTGTTCTTCAAGGAAATAACTCGACGCCTCAACAAACAGGTCAAGCTTCAGTTTCAAACCAATCATCAAATAAAATAACTCTTTTAACAAACAATACCAGACAGGAATCTAATTATGTCTTATTAGGGACGGCCAGAATAAGATTGCTGGCATCAAATGGAAGACAAATTGAATGCAGAGCAGTATTGGACTCTGGCTCTCAAATCAATCTCATAACAAACCGCCTGTCACAAAAATTGGGCTGCAAGCCTAGGCCAACGCTTATGAGTATGGAAGGCGTAGGAGCAAATGAATCAAAAATACGTCATCAAACAATAATTCGAGTACAATCAACGTTGAACGAATTTGTAGCAGAGATGGATGCACATATCATACCAAAAATCGTTTCAGATCAGCCAATGCAGTATTTGAATATCGAATCCTGGGATATTCCAAAGGAATTAACTCTCGCTGATCCAGATTTTAACAAACCTGGCCGAATAGATTGCCTGTTAGGAGCAGAGATCTTTTTCAAGTTACTTATTGAAGGTCAAATAAAACTAGCAGGTAGTCTTCCAATACTTCAGAATTCTATTTTTGGATGGGTTGTAGCTGGCAATGTTGAAACTTTAAATTCAAGCACGGCAACTTGTGGCATATGCACTACTAAGGAACTAGAAGAATCTATATTGAAATTCTGGGAATCAGAAGAAATTCCAGATTCAACTTCGGAACTCACAGAAGACGAATTGCGTTGTGAGTCACAAATTTTTTGCAACACACTTTTCGAGGAAGTGATAGCAGATTTGTTGTAAAACTCCCACTAAAGAATCATCCATCAGTGTTACCAGATACAAAAGGAATCGCTTACGAGAGGTTCAAGACAATCGAGCGCCGTTTCATTCAAAATCCTGATCTAAAGAATCAATATGTTTCATTTATGAGGGAATATGAAGCATTGGGACACATGACAAAATTCAGCGGTAGCGAAATAGTATCTCCCCAATATTTCATCCCTCACCACTGTGTGCTACGTCCAGACAGCTCAACATCAAAACTGCGAGTTGTATTTGACGCATCAGTACACAAATTATCAGGGCCATCACTAAATGACATAATGTTTAATGGTCCAAAAGTTCAAGACGAACTGTTTTCGATTTTGCTCAGATTTAGAATGCACAAATATGTTTTAAAAACTGATGTGGAAAAAATGTACCGTCAAATATGGGTTAACAAAGATGATCGAAATCTGCAACTCATAATGTGGCGAGAAAATCCCACAGAACCACTTAATTATTATCAGTTGAACACAGTTACTTATGGCACAAGAGCAGCACCATATTTAGCAACACGTTGTCTAACAAAATTGGCGGATGAATATCAAGGAAATTATTTATATGGCGCCACATCTTTAAAAAGGGATTTTTATGTTGACGACGGTCTAATAGGAGCTGATACCATCAACGAAGCGTTACTAATTCAACAACAATTAATAACAATTCTAGACAAGGCTGGAATGAAACTAAAAAAATGGTGTGCAAACAACCCGAAACTTTTACATGGAATCGCTACAGAAGATCAAGAAGTAAATCTCAATTTTGATTCCAAGGAAACCCAATTCACAAAGACGCTGGGTCTTTTATGGTTACCAAAGTCAGATTCATTTCGTATCAAGGTTAACATTCGAGACCATAGTCACACAACAAAACGATCTATGAGCTCCGATTTGGCACACATATATGACCCCTTGGGTCTTATTGGCCCAATCTTGGTCACCGGTAAAATCTTGTTGCAAGGAGCATGGCAGCTAAAACTCGATTGGGATGATGATCTTCCGTCAGAAATACGTAAACAATGGACATCGTATAGAGAAGATCTGGCCTTGTTGGACAATGCAACAGTTGTGAGGCACGTATTCAGCAGTCAAGGCTACAGCCATGTTGAGCTGCACGCTTTTTGTGACGCCTCAGAAAAGGCTTATGGTGCAGCAGTATACATTAGAACAGTACAAAAGGATAAAACGATAAAACTTAATCTACTATGCTCCAGATCTCGTGTAGCACCCATAAAATCTCAAACAATTCCACGAC